TTTTGGCACACGTGACCAAGGTTTCTGACAATACCATAAAAAATACTTCTTAAATTTCTAATTCTAAATTTTCAAAATAAAAAAAATCCAAAGTAAGTCCAGTCGCTTGGCACAATAGCACAACATTTGCATGCCAAATTTCACACAGGCTTTGGATAAAAGCAATGATGATACCCGGTTTGATGTTTACAGTTTTGCCATGTCACAACTGTAGGTGAAACTCAACAGGTTTTTGTCAAAATTGCAGCAGAGCAGAATGCTCAGATTTGTCAGTATATTAAAACTGGGCCTTGTGCTCAATGGATTAACTTTATCACTGTCAATTGAATAATTTGTACTGAGAAAGGAAAATTGATAGGGGTTTGAGTGATCAGACAAAGTTTAAGAGACAATATTCATCATCAAATAAATGTAAATATTTTTATTTTAAAAAATGTTAATGGCACCTTAGAGGCAGTCATGACTACACAACCAAATATACAAAAATTACATTTTCATAGTTGAATCTTTCCACAGTGCTGCACAAAATGGAGATACTATGAGAAACATTGCAGGTCACACACCAAGACAGTTAACTTTAGTCAATAAAAGCAGACAATTTTTGGTACACCTTGATACTACCAGACCCAGGTTGCCTGGGTAAAAAGGAAAGGTGGCTTTGTGCAAAACTTTCCAACAACAGTACAACTTAATATGCTAAACGTACAGCAAATCAACCGTACAAGACTGTTTTACTAAGCCTCATGCAGTCCCTATATACAGCATCCTCTCAGTTGGCTTTTTCAGGGAAAATAAGCAATTTCATTTACTAAAATAAAACTTTTCCTAATCTTTCACTGTTGCAATGTAAAATTGTCCAATACTTTGTGCAGGGCTAGCATCAGAGAGACCATTCCAAGTTTATCTGAAAACAAGCCCTTTATAATCTCCTGTACTTAAAGGCCGTGTTCTGCCATGATGGGGAATGAAGAAAGCAGATATATATTTGGTTGATTAAAAATAGCAGAGAATAAATTTGCCTGATTGCTAGTCCTAGATGGACTTTCAGAAGAGATTAAATTCTGTTATCGAAACTAAAGTGTTTAATTACATTAATCTCTGTTTATCTTCCATTGTATCATTGAATGCAGCAGTAAAATGTCTCAATCATAGTGGAAAGGGACTTGGTTTCCCAAAACAAAACCAACCAAACAAGAAAATTGGCTCTTGTACCTTCTGAATTAACTACAAGCTTCTGTGTTTTCTTGTTTTGTTCCTGAATTTCTTGTTCAATGATTTTGATTTCAGAAAGCACTAGTTGTTATTATGCAGTTAACTTCGTATCAGTCATAAGCCTGAATTAATTCAACTTCAAATGCTGGAGTCCTTGTTTATTATGTCATTCAGTAGCTAATAATTAGCTGGCAACCCTTATGATTGCAAAACTGAACCTCATGCTTACACTGGATTTGTCTAGCTTCAACTCCTGGGTGAGTGGATCACGTATCTTTCCTGCAGCAAATTCACCTTTTGCATTGCTATTCCCCAGATAAGCAGTCATTATGTGTTCACAGAAAACCATTGGCTTTTAAATACCCTTCCTGAAGTGCAGACATCAGATCTATATTGATAGATGTCCTACAGCAGAGGCACTGCATAACACAAACATTTTAATATTAAACTAAAATGCAGTGAAATTTTTTAGTGCCTCTCTAAGAATTCAGAGCAAATAGACATCACAGGAGTGCAATCAAATGAGAAGTTGCATGAATGCATATAATGTGAAGCAGAAATAGGAAGGAATTTAAACTGGGTCTTGATCAGTCCTGCCAATCACTAATTGGACTTTCAACAGTAATGGAGTTGAAGCTAGCAGAGGGATCCATTAGACAATTTTTAGAGGAAACCTCATGTAGTCCTGAATGCTGAAATAGGAGAAATCAGGAAAATTGTGCTAATTTTCATAAGAAACTAAATCTCCAGAAACCTCCAAACAAAAGCTGCCAAAAGCCTATAGAACAGGTATTAACAACTTATTGAAGAGCTTTTCCATCAGAGAACTGCTACCAAAGTGAAATGAAATATTTGCCTGCCAAGCAGCACCAAGCAGAAAAGACACTGTCTGGCAACTTTTTGTTGAGTGGGAGTGTTTTAGAGGCTCATGATGAGTAGGTGTAAGGAGTATCCTAAGAATGCCTGATGTGTTGTATGAGAATATAAAAGCAAATGGTATCCTGACAGAGTATGGTTAATTGATTGAGAAGCTGAGCAGAGTTCTCATTAGGAGCACTGCAGTTCTTTGTGTTGGCCTAGGCATACTGTCACAGGAAGCTCAGACTGCAGGCCAGACACACACACTAATATGTAAAATACACAGTCCCAGCCTAAAGGGGGGAAGTGGTGCCCACACTGAAGCTAAGGGCAGAGGCATCAGCCCAGACTAGCCCAGGCTCCTGCCTTCTCTTGATCCTGAGTATGGGCACAGCTGGCTAGCTTGTCCCACCACATGCCGGGGCTGTTTGTTCCCTCTAGGAAAAAGTTAGGAAGGACTTTTCTACACTGAAGCTGCCCCAACAATCTGCAGAGAGTCTGCCTGGAGCCCAGTTTTAGGGACAGCTGATGATTCACTGCAATAAGAAGAAAAAGTCTCATCTGCCTTAAAATCCCAGCTTCGTACGCATGAGACCTTTTAACCAGCCCTTCAAGTCTCCAGATGTGGAGAACCATCCACCTCTTTCACCAGGTATATCTTCCAGTCTAGTGAGCTAACATGGCACATGGAAGATGTCACCACATACCAGCAGTTAGCACACAGTAAGAAATGTGACAGTGAAAGCAGGATGGGAGACCTCCCTCCTTGGGTGGCCTTCCACATGGCAGAGTTCCTGGCACTACAGTCTCACTCTGTGCAAAACGACCATAGTTGCATCAAAAGCAGGCTTTTGCTCTTCACTTTACATGTTTTATTATTTCTTGATGTGCGTCACATCCTTCAGTGATTTAAACCCAACAGAGGAAAAAACCTAGAAAAGAGATGCACCTGATCACCAGTTAGGTTGTTCTAATTTACATAACTAACATTATGCTGCTTTTATAGCTTTTTCTATGTCCTCTGCCACATGTAAAGCCAAGATTGAAGTGCAAGACTTTCCTGTTTCCAATTTACAATGTAGGCCCTGTCAGATTCTGTCAAGACAGTGAGCAATCTTTTGTAGAGACATAAATTTTAGATTTTACTTTCATTTTGTACTGAGGTTATCTCCCAGAGTTGTAACAGGATGCCCTTGGAGCAGAAGCCTTCACATTCCCAGGTGTGAAGGGAATGTGAATTACCACCCCAACATCCTTTCTTATAAGACAAATAAAACCTTTTTCCTGCCTGTCCTTGAGGCTGCCTGATGTAACATTTCAACTACATCAAATAGCAATGGCAGGATTATATAAATGTATAATCATGCAATAGGTAAAGGAGTTTTTCTTATGTAAACATTATTAACACATGGTATTCCTTTCTTGCATGTCTAGCTTTCTGAACCCATTTAACAAAATGCTAAACTAACTATTTTTTCAAGAGGCCAATGCAGAAGTTGGCTGTGCAAGCTGAAGAGAAGAATGGAGATTATAACAGAGATGGCAAGAAAACACCATGAAGAGTCACAGCATTCTTAGGATCAGAACCAGTTTTTGGTCTTGTTTGGGCTCTTGTTTGTTTGGTTTTGGTTTCTACTCCACTTCCCACTTGAGATGAGGTAGGGCTGGGTTAGGATAAGATGGGTGTGCCCAATCTGATCCTTTTCCAGTGACTGCAAACCAGCACAGTCCTTCCTGATTCTCTGTGCAAAGACTTAGGACATATAAAGAATTCTTTAAATATTTCTAAGTATTTTAATTGAATTTTCTAAACATTGAGTTATATCATTATTTATTAAGTTAATTCTGTCCTTTCCTTAGTTCTTGAAGCCACAAATAGTAATTATTCACTGTTTATCTGACTGTGGTAAAATGTCAGATTTCTCCCCTGCCTTCCCCTCACCCACTCCCTCTCCTCAGAATAAAGTCTTCACAAATTCTACACCAACTATTGCACTTGATTAAAAAGAAATATACACATCAAACTATGCCCTCCCTCCCATAATACCAGCATAAAAAATACTGCAACTGAAAAGAAAATAAGTAATGACAATTATTTTCACAGTTACTAACACTGAACATCAAATAATTGGAGACACTGTTTTTTCACTTAATGGAGAGTGGAGAAGAATTCTGGTTGCGGTGGTTTTGTGCTTTTTGTTTGTTTATTTCAATAAAGATCTTGTTTTACATCATGGCTGAAAGCCAAGCTGATTTCAGGGAAATTTTTTTGCACTTATTAAATCAAGCAAAATAAATTCCAGTGGGAAAACAAACCCAACCCTGTCTCTTAGTAGTGATACTGCATGTTAATACATTATTTTCAGGAATGTTTGTTGAGAGTGTCTACAGTTCCTATATTTACAGAAGTTTAACTCCCTGCTCCCCCTAAGAAGCTGTTCTCTCATGTTTCTGCCACATTCTTTAATCAGACAGAAGAAAGAAATCCACTGTACCCAGGGTCCCACCACCTGTATGCTTTGCCTTCAGTCAGAACACCCCAACAATTCAGTGCTAACAGAGGCTAACCTCAATGCTGCTGTTCCCTGTACTTCTTTCCTGTGCAGGTTGCAGGGCTTGAAAAAGTGAATGCTTTGGTGTGGGTGACAACTTATCTACCAGTTACTTGCTTCTTAAGTCCTTTACAAAGTTGCCTGGGGATGTTATAATTCAATTCAGGCCATCTTTGGAAGTCTTATGCCACATGTATGTGTTTCCCAAATGCAATAAGGAACAGTGCCAGGACAGAACAACTGCTAACTGTGGTCAATAGTCATCACTGGTCTCATGTACAAACAATAAGCTCTGTGCAAAAAGTTACTAGCAGAAGCATCAAGTTTTGTTAGTCTTGAAAACTCAAAATCCCATGCAATGTTCATCATTAATTTAGAATCTAGAACTATCAATACACATGACTGCATAGTTTGGTTTATCATTCTAGTTGGATTCAGAGAGAAAATTAACTATCAGTCTAGCAGAGCTGATACACATTATGGCACTCCCTCTTGATCACACTCCTTGCACTCCAGCCTAGTAAAAAACACACCTGACACTTGCAGTTGCTGGGATCCCTCCTGGACCATCATACCATCTTTTGTGGGTATGGGTTTGGAAAGTGGAAAACCTTTTGGATTAAGGCAGAAGACTGACTTAAGTGAGCAGTTCATCACAGATACAGCCAGTTAGACAAAATCAGATTGAACAGGCAACTGACTGCCAACAAGTATACTTTTATATATTTACACCAGAATTTGTATACACACAGTGCTTAAAAAACAGGGAAGGGAAGAAAAAAGGGGAAAAGAAAGAAAAAAAAAGAAAAAATAGAAGACCAGCCAGTCCAATAGCTTCATCTTGGTATAATCATTCTTTCTATAGCACAAATGATATGATCCCAGTTTTTACAAAATATTGCCAGCAGCGTCACTGCAAAGAAAGTGCAGATGATATGAAAGCGGCTCTTCATCATAGGAGCAATGAACTTTGCAATAGTAGAAACACAGACTAAGATGACAGTCATGAAGGCCAGGATAACATTTATACACTTCCCCAGGAGCACTTTGGCATTAACTGTTTCAGACTGCTGTGCTTGCTGTTCTTGCTGATGGAGCTCCAGTTTGGAAACTCGGGTCTGACATGATTCCAAGGCTTCCTGGAGACAGAAAACAAGAATTAGGGCAGCCATATTTCCCTTCAATGGTTCTTCACATTTTAGCAGCAGAGCCATCCATCAGCTAGATTAGAAGTGTAATTTATTATTGACTGCCAAAATTTCAATGAACCACCAACTTTTAAAAGAATAAATACACACAAATGTCTGAATGAGTGTGTCACTGTTTGCTCAGGCATAATCAAGGCTAACAACACTGTCCAAAATGTAGGTTTGTTCTTTTTTCATGCTCAAGAAAAAGTACCATAACTTTAATGTTCATGACAGCTGTTTCCTATATATACTGTTGATATAAAGTACTAGTAAAGCTGTTGCCATAGCAACTATCACTGCATCAAAACAACAAGAAAATGAGCTTCTTTGTATATTCTATAGAAAAGATTAGGCTGGGCTTGCTGTGATACTAATTAACTCTACTTTGCAACATGTAGCCATGTAGCAGCACTTAGTTTACACTGCCTCTGTGTCTATATTGATTTTGCTCTCAAAGCTACCCATCCTACAGTGTCGGGCTTGAGCTCTCTGTGAGATCTGGCCTTCTCCCACTGTCAGTGTGAAGACAGTGGAACAACCTGTGGAGATGCTTTTATGGGATTCTCTCCCACATGATCTATTTGGCTTCACAATTTGTTCTAAAGAAAGCAGACTTTTCTCTTCTGCTTGAGAACAGACTAAAAGTGGTCTTTGACTAAAATGCTTCCTAAAGACACTACTCCCATGCTTAAACCCTCCCAAAGCAAAACAGAAAAACTTTCAACTGCTTCCCTTACTTGCCAAAATGCCAGCTTTTTGCAGGAGTTGGGATTTGGGCATCACTGCACAACGTGGTGCAGAGCTATAATTTCATGAGATTGATCAACTTGACAGAATCTTTTACCACTGTGTGACAAAGAAAACCAACGCTCCAGCATCCCTACTTTCTTGCACACTCTCACACTCTAGGTATTTTCCTTGCACTAGCAAGCTTGTTCACCTGCTCACAGAGTAAGCTGTTTCAAACCAAACCTCAGTGTATAAACACCCAGAGAGTTATCAGTTTATCATCTCCCTTGCTGGGTCAGTCCTTCATTGTTTCAGCAAGCTAGACTGGCTTACCAAGGGACTGGCCAGGCACCAAGGTCACCACAGAGAGTGGGGCACAGTGCCTTACACAAGGCTGCTTCACTTCACTGCTCTAAGAAGTAGTAACAAAATAGAAGATTGTTATTACAGTTCTTCAGGGGTGGCACAAAGGCTGTTATGGTTCAGGCATGTTCTCCACTACACACTAATGAACTTCCCTGTCTTTCTTCCACTCTGACTGTAAGTTATCCTCAAATTGTCTTGTGCTGCTTTAGAAGAAGTCCAGCTGCAAAAGTCTGATACCTGCAGCTCTGCATTGAGAGGCTGAACATGTCTTTAAAACTATCTGCACATCCTTTAGTGACAGTTAGGCTGTTACTCAAAATATCCAGAGCTTAAATCCTTTTACTCTATTTTAGCTAATTTTCCAAAGCCCCAGAGAGACAGATTTAAATGGGCCCAACTGTACAGAGATAAAAGAAACAAGGCTGTGTCAACATAGCACTTCATTAAGGAGTCTCTGACACCCTTCCAGGAGTCTTTTAAAAGTCTCTGACACCCCTCCAGGATTCTGCTAATGACTTAGGGAATATTTCACAGCCCCTCTCTTGGACAACTCAGGTTTCATTACATTTTTACATCCTCAAGATGCCTTCACAGAAAGGAGTGCTCTTTTCTTTAAATCTGTGAGACACCTTTCTTGTTTAAACCTACAATGAAACCTATGATATGCTTAGATTCAGTACCATCCCTTTCCCACTCTGTTCCCAGGAGCTTCCTAATTAACATTTAGGAAACTGTGATCATCCTGCTGCCTGCACTCTCTCTGTTTGGAAATGTGAGCACAGGTGTATACAGGTCAGGTTTTAGGTTCTTTTACCATGTGAGCCAATGGTAAAAGACAGTCTTTGAGCATTCCTCAGTTTTTCATGAATAGGTAAGGCACAACTGTGTTTTCACCACTTTTCACCACTTCCTCAGACTTTGAGTGGAAATATTATGCATTATGTAAGTGCTTGTGTTGTACTAAATATTCAAGTACATACATAACTACATGCTGTCAGGACATACTTGTAGACATTAATACTGATTTTTGATTGAAGTCAGGCATGACTACAACTGATCACTAAGGTGAAAACACGCCACAGCTTTGATTATAGAGGTTGTTGTGACTATGGCTTAAAACTCTTTAATTATAACTGGCAAATCTACAAGTCTATTTCTCTTAATTTTTATCCTATGCTGAGTAAGAATTTTATGTCAGGACATTGTCAGAAGTGTTGTGTCATACAATACAAGGAGACTTGATTTCTTCCTCCTCTCTGAAAGAAATTAAAACAGGTCTCTGTTTTAAAACTCTGCCTGAATCATATCACCAATTTCAGCAGAAAAAAGATCTTGAATCCAGAGAAACAAATGGAGACTGTCACTGATTCAATGTGCTGGGTTTTCCCCTTAAAACATAGAAAATATGTTAAGCTTACAAACATGTTCAAAGCTTACATATTTTCCCATATTCCTTATTTTAAAATATGCAGAAAAATGCAAGTGTTTCATGGTACAAGATCTCCACAAAATGTTAGAAGATTAGGATAAGGAAAATAAGTACCTGAACATCTCGTGATCGCTCGTAGGCCTGATACGCCACCTTCTCCTCTATGCTGGCTAGCTCTTGTTTCAAGTTTGCTGTCTCATGTTGATGAAGGTCAGTGAGGTCATTTAACTGGTCCTCCAATCTTTCATATCTTATTAGGAAAAGAAGTCTAAATTTAGTGCCTTCTATTCAAGTAATGCAAATCGTGAAAACAATTGCACATTTTAAAAGGTAATTTCTCAGCACACGGTGAATTCATCTGACTGGCGTTACAAAGCACATATAGAAATCAGTAAAAACTTTGCAAACTTTCCACAAACACTTATTCAGCAATCAGAAAGCCTTTTCTGAGTGTTTCTTGCTGGCAGTAGGTGCTAAAAAGCAAATATTTTTACATCACTGGCAAATTATATGAAATATAAACAGTGCCTAAGGATATCCAACTCACATTTTTCACTCTTCATTTAGCCAAGAAGATATGGCTTCATAAGTAAGTTTGAGCCAGTTAATAGCTCACCAGTAATGACAGGAAAAATATGTTCTCTCTCATAGACAACTGCAGGGTTCTGCCATTTATGTACAGTCTGTTCTGGCATGTTTCTACATGGTAAAGTAGTTCAAGTAAACCACCAGCAAACTAGATTTTTTTTTTGTGAGTTTGTCACTTGATTTAACACACAAGCAGGCAAACACTGCAGTCAGCACAAAAATGATGGAGGCAAAATTGTCTAGAAATGGATAGCAGGAGGCTTGAGATTTTACTGGCAGAGAGCTGTCAGAAAAGGCCACTCTGCCTTCTCCTGAAACCAAGTCAGAAGCTCAGCAGGCCTTTCATTGTTCTTTCCTCCCTATATCACCACATGATATCAAGTCTTTCATTGTATTTCAGGAACTATAAGCAAGGGAGACATGAAATATTGCCCTTCATGCCAAGATTTTGCCCACTGGCATAGTAAAGACTTCAAGAATTGACTGTCACCTTAACAAGCCATAGGAAAAATGGGATATAGGTACAGCAGGTGAAAGCCCTCTGTGCAACATATCATCCACTTCTCACAGAGGATGATAAAGGAATTAATTGTCATGTAACAAATGCAAGATGAAGTTGTGCTACAGCCCTTCAAAATACATCTCCCAGTGTGTGTTACACCAGGGTACAAGGTGACATTGCATCCAGGAGACAGCAATGTGTGTGAGAAGTATTTGGACAAGGTACCCAGGAGTCAAGGGTATACTTATCAGTCAGTTCTGCTACACCACAGACTGATTAGCTGTTTTGAGTCACATTAGATAGAATCCTTCCACCAGCTACAAAACTATTGGCATCTCCTATACGCAGTACTCACATAATACACATAAAAGCTATGACAGAGGAGAGAGTCTTCTGACCAGCCTCTGACAAAAAGCAAAGGGCACTACACCATTTGATAGAAAATATAAATATTCTATGTGTATTTTCAGTTGTTGGAAGGAATTAAACATGTTGGTAATAGATATTGATTGGAATTATTTTTTCCTCTTGCTTGTGAAATCTCTCTCTCTCTCTCTCACACACACACACTTTCCAAATAGTTTCTATACCCATTCAAAAGTCATTTCAAGAGAACAGTTAAAAAAAATACCTAAATCTTTCCTCTTGTAGCATCTGAGAAATAAAGCCATAGTCTCTTTTAAATTGGGTTTTTAAATTCTCAATATCATCAGCTAATTGAGACTGTGTCTCCTTGATTTCCCTTAGTTCCTCCAAAATCATGGAAAGCTTTCCTTGGCTGTCCAGGGTGCTTGCCACAGCAGGACTAAAGGAAGTATTCCCATTGCTGTCTGCTGATCCAGAGGTCCCACTTGAGCATTCATCATCACTAACATATTTTGGTTTGGCAACAATGGTGGCACTGCCCCCATAGGTTCTAGAACTCGTTTCTGGCCGAAATTCATCCAGGGTATTTTTCAGATGAGCAATGTTGTCTGCACTACCAAATTTGTTTCGGATCAGGTTGGCAAACTCTCTGGACTTGCTGAAAACAAAGACAGGGGGTGTCAGAGATACCCCTGGCACACCCGACTTGCTGCTCTCTGCTCCGTGCCCAGTGCTACGAGACTTTCCATGCTGAACGTCTTTCAAGTTATCTTTGGAAGTATCCTTGGTAGCTTTGGAAGATCCATTTTGTTCAATATCCTTGAGCTTTTTGTGATACTGTTCCAATTTCTTCTGCAGCTGGGCAATGGAGTGGGCAGATTTCTGGTTCTTTTTCTCAAAGACTTGCTTGATGCGTCCAGCCTGCTGCTTGTCTGCACTGTTCACCAGTTTCAAATACTCAGCCACGTTTCCATCTCGAGCTGTTTGTTCAACCTTGATTTGTTCTGTAACCTTGAGGATTTTCTGTTTCAAGCTATCTGCGTTGAGTTTGACTTTGTGAAACTCTAGGACCCCATCTGGTACATCAAAGTTCAGGTTGGTATCAGAACCTCCACGACGGATGTTAAGTGGTAGACTCAGGGTATTCATGTCATGTCTTTCCACCTGAGAGAAAAGAAAAAGAGGTAAATGGAATTTGAATTCTATTTTTTAAAATCCAACATCCAGTTTACTTTTCCACATATAATTACATCAAGTATACAGCATAAAGTAGCTTATATTAGCAAAGCATAATGAAGTTTTCTTTGAAATTAAGCAGCATTTTTTTGACTTCTACAAGTTAATAAACAGTCTAAGGAACTGCTTGTCTCTCTTAAAATAAAGATGGATTAGAGAGAAAATAATTCAGAATAGGTTATAGAATCACTTACAGTTTGCCACAAAACGAGAATAATACCTAGTTAGAAAAGGTTCCAAAATATATTGTTTATTATTAGGAGTTTCAAAGAGACCATGGCTGATAATCACTCAGTTTTTTCTCTTAAAAGTGGTCAAACACCAATGGAGATGTCACCAGATCTTTCCGTCTACAGCAGTGCTATATACTATGTACTGTTCAGTATATTTTCCCAGGTTTAATGCCTTTTTCTGATACATGCCAATTTAAATTTCTTTCACAATTCCAAGTTTTTGCAAAACTAGCTGAAAGAAAGCTCTTGAAAATCTAGTATATGCTGCACGCTGGAAGCAACTGTTATTTTTTAAAGCAGAGAGTACAGAGGAAGAATTGGCCTGTATTTGACTTTCCAGCTTGATAAGGGTGCTCAACAACTTGATCTGCTGTGCTAATTCTGTTTTAATAGGAAGTTCACTAAGTGGGATTTATAGGCAGAAACTCCGGAAAGAAAACTGCATTCAGTCAAGTATAAGATCTGTACACCTTAAATGCTCTCTGGAAGCACAAAAACAATTAGGCAACTCAGACACAACACCGACCACAACAGATCATTTTATCTTTCTCATCACAAAGGCAAGATAGTCTGATACAAAACATTGAAAGTGTTTCCTTATATAAACTCAAAGTTATGGGGAAAGCAGGAGAAGAATGATCTAAACAAAATAGCTTTATCCCTATTATCATCTTGGTTTAGCCTGTGTGACAAAGAAAGTGCATTTCATTGCAGCTGCCACAGTGTCATGTCTGTAGAGACTGCTTAACAAATGCTCCAGCCATAATGGGTTTCCAGAGCTTTGGTAGCAGGGGGAGCCAATATAATTCCTCAGACAAGACCATTGCAGAAACAAGGCAGAAGCTATATTAAAGTATCTCTTGACAATGCCTTCCTGAAAATCTCTTTTCATTTCTACTACTTTATATTATTTATTTATTTATATTATTTTCCTTATAGATTACCAAGGATTACAGTGGAGATTTTTCTTGATTTTTCTTTTGCTACTGCACCACTCAGGGCACAAACCAGCTAACATAAAAATTCACATTAACCAATACCTATTAAAAAAAAAAGCACTTGAAAAATGCATATTGAAAGTCTGGAGTTGACAATTTCTTTTGGAGAATATTGGTTAATGATGACCTTTAAGACTCAGACTGTATCCCAGGGATTAAACCATTGTTGTGGCCTAATAGATCTACACTTTACCAGTTTGTTAGAAACAATTGGCATTGATCCAAATGCTCAGTATACAACAAGAATTAACAAGAATTTCTTGAAACAACCTAAGACATTTTTAAATAAGCTTTGGCACAAAATGATACTGTAATTAGTCACAGAATTGTATACACACACAAAACAGATCCATCACTGATGTCACTCAGAACAAGTTGTACATAACTTCCAGGAATGGGTGGGTCTATATCTAACCTTTTCACAGCAATGTTTACTTCCTCAGTAAAAAATAGTCTAGAAATAGTATTGTAATAATTGGATACAAGCCCAAACCAGATCCCTTTTCCCTTATGTCCCCTCCCTCACAGGGCTCTCCATTGGTCAGCCTTCTCTGCCTTCCTGAAACTTCAAGGTCACGAAAGCAATACTGATAAAAAGAACAATAGCCTTGAAGGAATACATCTGCTGAATGCTGCCATGCTTTTGGACATGAGGAAATCTGTTAGTGTGGGGCAAGTCTGCTCCCGATTAAACTAATCACAGGGTCAGTTCAAATTCAGGAAAGTACTTAGAAAATAAGTGTTGAAAGTCCCAAAACACTGCTAGCAGTTTTACTTGCTGGATTGAGAGCTCACTAAGAGTACAAAAAAGTCATATCCAATATATCTTTGTTTCTGATTGTAGTTGGACAAAATGGCAGGTGTCCTCTGCCATCATGCTGCAAGGCTGGGTCAAGCAACCCTCTTTCAAGAGGCTCTTGCAATCCTCTGCTGATGCAATACACCTTTCTGTTGGGAGGGGATGTGTAATGTGGGGTGGAGTTATTTCTTTTTTAGGTAGGGGGCTGGTTGGCAGAGTTTTGTGGGGTTTACGGTTTTTTGGGGTTTTTGGCTTGTTTATTTTAAATCAGAAGCAAGCAGACAGCGGGAGAGTCAGGTATGTCTAGACAAGCGGCCTTTCACCTTTCTTCTACCTTGATGATCCATTTGTGATTGTTCTATAACTCAACACTAACGCTAACCCAAACATCAGATTTCCATCTTCAAAGCCTACCCCAAATGCTTCTTGCTGCAAGTCTCATCCTGTGATGAGAAGAATTCCTGCTGAATCGAATGCCTCATTCTTTACACCGAGCACAAGACTGCCAGTAGGAGTTGAGATGATGAGATGCTTCCTCATCCCTGCAGGTACTGGTGCCCTCTGCTGGGATGCAGGCTGAAATCCTCCCAGTGCAGGAGAATGAATGGCATCTCCTTCAAACTGTGTGAGTGCTCTCCCAGCTATGCTACGGGAAGAAATGAGGAATGCCATCCCTGCCATTGTTCCTGCTGTGACTCCTGGGTCCCCAGCACCTCACAGGGCCACCAAGCTGTTAATAACAAAGAAGTTGTTGAGAGATGGGTTTTTAATTTTATTTTTTAAAGATTTTCACTGTGGTTGCAAAGAGAAAAATATGTTTACATACAGTAGCAGGCCCAACAGTTAAAATGGATGAGCCATCCTTTTGGAAGTGAGAATCACTTGAAGAGAAAAGAAGCCTTGTACATATCTCATATAATGGCAATTAATAGGGAGCTGAGCAGTAGCAGTAGATGAGAAGCAGCAGTCCTGAAACATGTGGTACCACTAGGTAGACAGGAAGTCAAAGAACTAGCCCGTAGTCTGAGGAAATACTAGAGACATGCCCTCAATTTGTGTTCTAGGAAAAAACAGGGGAAAAAACCAATTTGCATATAGTCCTGGGATAGCCATAGCTGATGTTAGCTTGAAAAAAGACACCTGGGCCTTGGAGGGAGACCACTGCACTTTATGGAGCAGCTCACACACACACTTCACTACAACCCAGTTGAGAACTAATAGTAATGTTTGTGCTGCTGAAATACAAGCTTTCACGAACAGGGAACATGAGCTCTTAAGAACAGTACCACAGTTGATGAGATAGGTAACTCTCAGAGATAAAGCCCCAGCCCCCCTTTTTCCAGAGAGCCAAGAAGATCTCCAGCTGCCTGACCATGCTATCCATGCCCAGAGTTTCAGAAGGGACAGCAAAATCACTTCTTGGTGCAATGAACACAAGTGCAATGCTGGGAACCCTTCACTGCACATGAATTGTCAGGTTTACTTACTGTCCTAAATGTAAAGTGGAGGGCTGGGTAACAGGGAGCCTGCTATTCAAAAAGAACCATGCAGAGCACAATAGTGATTTGAAAACCCACTCATGGAAGCAAGGGTAGGGATTCCCTTGGCATCACAATGATGCACATGTTTCTTCACTAACCATCTGCAAAAGCAGCACCAAGGTCAGACTTGCAGGCCATGCTGTCAATGAGCCCAGAGCACAGTAGGACCCATGCTCCCCAATACCACAGGCAAGACTGTTGGAAAGAGATTCTGCATTGACAGGATCTGCTGAACAGGTGAAAATATTGTGTTTAATGGCCTATAAAATTGGTCATTGAATCTTCCTACTGGAAAATATAATGAAGACCTAGAAGATCTTATTTCTTCCCCATAGATCCTGGGTGGGATCCATCTGGGAGAAAAAATCCATAGTGAATAGAGCACAAAGAGCATGCAGGCCACCCTAGTGCAACCCACATCCCATGGCTGCTCAGATGAATGCCATGCTGGGTTCCACTGACTGTGCCAATGGCTCTCCACTAACAAGTGAGACATAAGCCCTCTATGTTAAAGGTACCAAACTGAACTCTACTCTTTATGTCATAGATTTCTTTTATGCTCTTTTAAAAAGCATAGAGAATAAAAAGCATTTACAAGACAGATGCATATATGCACCAGGCTCCAGAAAGCCTGCTCCTTTGGCTTGCCTCACTAAGAGAAACAAACCATGAAGACAAAAAATGATCTGCTTATTTAAATAGGCTCAGTTTACAGGTGTTTCCTTCTTGTTCTTTCTCTAAAAAACCTCATTACCACTACCAGTCAAGCTAAACAAAAGCTTATGATGACAATTTAAGTCTATCTTGAAAGAGTTTCTGATGAATGCTTAGAAACAGAATCCCATAAGGAGCATACAAAATAGGATTAAGGCAGCTTCACAGCTCTTAGAATTTGGTAATACCAACAAAAGTCATCTGGAACAATTCTCTTTTTATCAGAAATATGCATATGCCAGAAGCACAGGTGTTCCAATGGGTAAAAGAACATGCAGAGGGAGTTTTAGTAAGTTTTCAGTATATTCCAAAGCAAAAATGTATTTGGGGAGAGACTTTCATCATTTCTTTCAAGTTCACTGTTCCTTCTAAAATCCACATGAGAATCCTTCATGGAAGTCTTAGATTAGAACTAAATCATCATAAACCATTTTAAATTATGTAAAATCACCCCCCAACATTTTTGTACAGTATGTTACAGCAAAGCACCTTCTGCTTGTGTTTCTTTACAGAGCTACTTAATATCTAGAAGTATCTACACTGAGAATACCATGCTAATTATCATGCAGAGAGTTGAGAGTATATGGGAATGGAGGGAGTCATCAAAATGTGTTTCTGCTTTTTACTGGGGTAATGGAAGATC